TAACCCCTTCAGTCCAGGCCCAAGAATTGAGTAATGGAGCAGGTCTTGGACTAAAAGCACATACTTGTGTTTCATACATCAAATTCAATAGAAATAAACTCGCACAAAAAAGTCAAGGAACAAAAATTCAAAGAAAGATAACTGAAGAACAGTGTAAATGAATTTATTCTTTTTTTTCTTCCAAAAATATGCTTTTGACTCTCTAGATTAAGTGTGTACAATTTCAGATTTCAACAACAACGAGACGTTCATGTAAAATGAGTTTAAGTCACACTGGTCTGATTTCAAATGTCTGAACAGCCATGAACATTGTCAATAGTGGGTGTAGCCACTCCGTTTGACCAATCACTCGGCACAGCGTCGACGCATGGACAGGACATGCCTTCGGAGAACTTGTTGCGGTAGGTTCTGCCACTCCAGGACAAGGCAGCCCAAGAGCCGTTGAAGGTCTTGTGCAAGAGGGTGGCTGTCCCTTATCCACTGCTCAATGTGACCCCAAATGTTCTCTATTGTGTTCAAATCCGGACTACAAGCTGGTCAGTCCATGCGGGTGACAGCTCGCTTCTACAGAAAGGCCCGCACGATGCGTGCGCGATGTGGCGTGGCGTTGTCGTCCTCCAGTACAGCCTGGGATCCAATCTGCTGCTAGAGTGGAACAGCGAGGGAACGCAGGATTTTCTACCTGAACCTTGCCGCGGTCAAATTGCCCTGTATATGGTACAGGGGTCTTGTGGTGAGCTGAGAAGCCTCCACACAAGAGAGCAGACCATCCACCGTTGTGCGCCACCTGCTGGATACACTCAGGGAGGAACACCTCTCCTCCGCGCCTCCAGACGTGGGGTCGCCTGTCTGGGTGCAGCAGGTTTTATCTGGATTTTTCCGAGAAGACAACCTGGTTCCACTGACGTCGTGTCCACTGTGAATGGCTAACAACCCACGCCCGGCCAGCTGTTTTGTGGGGCGGCATGTGCCTTGGGCGCCTGGCAGGGACACGAGAAGCAAACCTTGCTCTACGGATACGGTTCCTCACTGTCTCCTCGCTCTCGTGGACATTGGCTTTCACCCGTAGTTGGTCCCTGATGCTGTTTGCAGTGGTGGTTCGTGACGTCACGGCCTGTCTGCCGATGAACCGGTCGATTTTGTCGTGGGTCAAACGGGTCGGCCCTGGTCAAGGCCTGTCCTGGACCCTTCCGGTCACTCGCTATCGTTCTTGCAGCCTCTATATGACTGATGGGGACACCTCAAATCGATGTGCAACAACTGGGAACGTGGAGCCATCTTGGAGCCAGGTAAGGGCTGGTCCTCTGTCGACGTCAGGCAGCGAGCGTCGTTGGACTATCGTGTCGTAATGAAACATGGCTGAAAGACACTGGCTTATAAAGGGTTGGAAGTGAGCAATATTCACAGCTAAAGCATCTGTTTAGCAATGCCAAGCTTAGCTTTAGCAAACAGTTCCTATGCCAATGTTGTTGAAGTAGAGAAATTTAGTCAATTTTTCATTCTTTTCGGCTGTGTTTCAGAATGCCCAGCACCGTCACTGTGAAGCTGGTGCGGGCAAATTTGCTCTAGAGGCAAATTGTGTCTAGTCGTTAGTGCGTGGGTCAGGTTTGGTTGACTGATCGTAACGGGTTTGTGAGATATTGAAGTTTTAATTTAACAGGGCAACACACAAGTTGTTCCTTTACTTTTTTGGGCGAGTTTATAAATGCTTAGATTTTGTAAAAATGCTGAGACATTTGCAACACAAATAGGTCATATTAGAGAGGAAAATTAAAAGTGTTACAAGAAAATAACATACATGGACTACAGACGTTTGGAAGGAAAGAAGCATCAAACCGTACCAAGGCACCCGCCAACCAACCACGATAACAAATTCATTGTGGGCCACTTTCTAGCTTCAGCAAAGAAGTTCGCTAATGTCGTTTTCCCCTCTCAACCAACAGCCTAATGACCGTCATTGCTCTCGACTCCATAAGCAAGCGACTGTGAACTAATCTCGCGGAGACGACTTTGGTGTTTGCAAAACAATACCCTGCCCTGCACACTCACAAACTCGTAGTTTTTCCCCAGCTACTCGAATTAGGCGGATTTAGTAGAGAAAAACGAACTACTTACCTTTACTGATTTTTAAAACAGATATATGTATGCTAATTATGATAATATGCATAGTGAAAAACAGAGCACATGCTTACATATTTTTGCGCAGATTGCCGTTTATCAGCAAGTGTTGAGGGAGGTTTCGGAAAAGCAGAAGATTTGGTAAAGGATTGACTGGACTGGGAGGATGAGGGACTGATGCGCACGGGACTGTTGGAAGGGGAAGGGATGTAATTTATTCGGGGTATTGGGTATATAAGCCAGAAAATATTTGGTAAGGTGGTCTTCAACCCCCTTCCCCTAAAAAAACAACAAAAAAACAACAACAAACAAACCCAGAAGAAACTATTTATTTATTTATACCGATATCTGTGGTGTAACAGTTGTAGATCTAAGCTATTCGCAGTCACCGTTGTAAGCAGAAGACTTTTGAGTTCGATTCCCGTGTGGGGAGTTTATTGATCCAGTATTTCAGTCCGTCTGCTGGGACGTTTTGTCCTTCTAATTCTGGATTGTCTCAGACAGGTTGGACCCAAGTAGCCAGCTTCCGAAATCATCTAATTTGTTTTCATGCAGTCATCAAACTCCCACAATGTATTATGCATATCCCATACATATTCATACTCAAACACCTGCCAATTGCTGTGGCAGAACGGCTCTTACAATGTAATGTGCAGTGGTGATGGTACTTGGCATAATTATAGTTAATGTTCTTGTAATCATTTTTTAGCCTATTGCACAGTACAGGTAAGCTCGGCTTTGCGCTCTTTTTCGTTCTGTCCGTTTGTTTTGCTTTTTCCTCATTGTTCAATAACAGCTATTGTGACAGTGTGCTCTATTTCTAAAATTCAAACTCATATGTGAGGCATCGTGGTGAAATCAGGAGCTCGTCAAAATAATGAAATCGAAGAAACTGGCATTTTCTCCCTGGTTTGGAAATTTGTTTTCGAATGTATTTTTTTTTTTGAGCTCAAAACGTTTTACGCCCATTTAAAAACACATTTCTTTGTGTATTTTACCGAAAAACAAACGTCGAATACAGATGCCAAAAAAATGTTCCCATTACTAAAGACTCCCAAGCTGTGGAAGTGAACAAACTTTGGCAGCCATTTTCTCGCTAATTTTAAATCTGAAACCTGGCGACCTCCACCGCCTTTAATTGCAAATAGCTCGACTTCTATTCAAGATAGATGTGTGTTCTTAAAATTGAAAGCAAAGCAATAGAACAAACTTTTACGTTGATACCAATAACTCCATATTATGCCCCCCCCCCCTAAAAAACAAAAACAAACAAAAAATAAGAATACAAAAGACGATTGCCTGCTTCCACCGCTTCGCGACACATAATATGTGAGGCAGTGTGGTGAAATCAGGCGCTCGTCAAAATTTTCCGCTAGTTTGAAAATGTTTAATCAATTATTTTTTTGGTTTAACCTCTTTTATGTACATATGAAAAACCCATTTAATTTCCATGTGAATTTTACTGGAAAACATAGATTAGAGGCACAAACTATACCATTTTAATGTTTTCAAAGACTTTTTAGCTATTGGAGTTAACTAACTTTGACGGCTATGTTCTCGTTAATTTCACCCCTGAAACTAGACGACCTCAATTCCTTCAAATGCAGATATCTAGAGTTCTATTCATGATAAATAGATATTTATTTAAATGGAAGCAAGGCATCAGCTTTCAGATTATACCAATAACTCTACATGTCCATAAATTGACGTGCGCTTGATTCCAACGCGTCGTGACCCATATCATAACTCATCCCTATTTGCCCCCCCCCTCCCCTCCCCCTGGCGGTTCCTCTCTCAGCTGTGTTCATCATCGTGTTCGCTATCGTGTACCAAGTCCGCCATGTTGCCGCCTCCCGCTCCCTCCATGCCGGTCTTCTAAACGCTCTGATGCACGCGCCCATCAGCTTCTTCAACAGCACGCCCATGGGGCGCGTTTTGAACCGATTCAGGTAAATCAACGACCCGAGAATAAATGGGAGCCCTCTCTCTCTCAGTACAGCGTGGCGTGCCTAATAGACGGTGAAAACTGTTCTCTCTCTCTCGCTCTCTCGCTCTCTCTTTCTCTCTCTCTCTCTCTCTCTCTTTCT